ACCCCTTTGCTATCATGATCCAATCTTCAGTCTCTGCAATATGCTACCCGTTTTTCCCCAAATTCATCCACTTTGATTGTTGAAGATTACGAAAATGAGAGGAAAGAAAAAGGAGCAGCTTTTCTCAGCTCAGAGGAATAGCAAAGTCTGAAGCCTGCTGAGCTTATAATTAAAATGCGGAAAAACCATGACAAAGCTCAAAAGATGCGAGAATGTGATACAGAAAGCATAAAAATGCTGAGCACCAGGCTTCAGGCAAAGCACTGTTTTGAATTAAAAATAAATGAGAAAATTGCCTATAGAGAAGGGAATGCAGGGGGAGAGGCAGCCATGGAAGAGGAAGAGTGGAGAGTGATTGTTCCTATGCTGCCTTCAGAGAAATCTTCTTCCTCCGCCAAAGGACTGCAGGCTGCCCAGGGAGGTGTTGAAGTCACCGTCCCTGGAGGTGTTGAAGAAATATGTGGCACTGAGGGACATGGCTAGTGGGCATGGTGTGGATGGGCTGATGGTTGGACTAGATGATCTTAATGGTCTTTTCCAACATTAATGATTCTATGATTCTATGACTCTAAGCTACAGCAAGTCAGGGATTGCATGAACCAACTGATGATGCTAGCCCTCTGATATGACTCTTCTTTTGCTCCCAGGTAGTAAGCCTGGAACCAGACCCAAACATGCTGAAGAGTGACAAATGCCTGGTTATGCTCTTGCCCCCACTGCTGGCATGTGATGGATGCCTGCTCTGATCCCCCTGCTCCAAGCTGAGGAGCCAGCAAGAATCTGGGGGCAGGAGTCATCCCTGCAGATCAGCAGATCTGCCCCTCACACTTCCTCCCAATGAACAGTCCCCTTGTTGATTTAAAAAACATACTTGCCAAGCTTTACACCTATTATTTTCATATACAACACTGATTTATTCTTCCTGCTAAAACAGTCAGGAAATAAATCAGTAACATCGAAGAATACTGCCTCAGATGGTAAAATTCATTGCATTGCACAACTGTTTGCTCCTTGGTTTATACCACAGAGAACTGCGCTAAATGGTAATGAACAGCCCTAATCGTATTACATCTTCCCACTCTCTGCCAGCAGTGTCAGAAGCTTAATCTTCAGGAGGTCCTGTTGGGTCTTGGGGCCCTGCTGTTGGCTTGAAAAACATCCTGCAAGAACAAATGCAAAAACTTTAACTACATTAGGACAGCAGGGCTGGAGAATGCCAAAAGTCCACCTCATCCCATATCCTGGCTCAAACCTGCATGGACGCTTGAGGAAAAAATCTAAGAACAGAGTAAATACAGAGTGATTTTTCCCCACAGTGTGCAGCAGCATTTCCTGCCATCTTCCAGTTATCCATAGTGCTGGGACTTCCTAAAGAAAAGGCTGTATTTTTGTACCTAACAGCCATCACTGGGGCTGTTTATTTCCTCATGCATTCATCTAATTGGGCTTTTAATCTGCTTGCGCCTAATGTAGGTAAAAGTAGTTTCTATCACTCCACGTTGCCTGGGAGCCTCTTCACCATTTCTTCCACTTTTATGATGTCTTACTCATTCCTAAACAGCTATGTTCCCCCTCTCCCCATCCTGCTGCATGACAGGGCAGCAACTGAAGGCAGGAGGAGCTGACAGAGGTCTCTTCTGCACAAACATGTGAGCACGTGGTGCTTTATTGCGTGGGCACTCACATGCTGAAGTGATGTACAGTGCTTAAGTGTAATGCATATGACAATATTGGGTCAGACTCACGTGGCCACAACAGGCCACCTCCTGCAGCAGTCTCTGCCTCTCTGCAGTCAGTGACTGATGTCTAGGAAGGAAATAAAAAAGCAAAGAGCGCAGTCAGGTTTCCTCAGAGATCCTCTCTCCCAGCTGGGTCTGAAGGACCATTCGTCACATCCCAGCTTTACTTGACCCTCAGTCACACACTAGAGGTGTCCAATCCACAAAATACATGGAAAAAAAAAAAGAGGTAGAAGTATATTTCCATGCAAGGATAATTTTTTTTTTTTTGAGAGCATTTGATACGAAAAAAAAAAAAAACCAAAAATCCTCCATTGGGAACTTCCATCCATTATGAAGCAGCAGCGATTTCAGTGTTTCTGGAAAACCTCTCATACAGCAGGCATACTACAACACACTCTTATCAGCCACAGCTGCCACCTCATCCTGTAGCTCACATTGGGCAACAGAGCCTTTTGATCACAGCAGTACATGCACAACATCACTTCGGCATCAAGGATGACCTGAGCTGGCATAGCCTTTTCTGGACCCAGGAATAGGTAAGCCACCAGGCTGCGCAGCAGGGAGAAACACACCACAGATCTTTTGCACGGGGACTTAGCTATGGGCACACAGTGGGATACAGGATGAGATGGAAAAGGCTCCAAGAGGAGGGAACCAGCTCCGCCCTTCCAAAATATCCTCTGGCACCACCAGTGCAACAGCAGCAGGAAAGGTCATGCTGGTCTGGGTGTTCCCAGTGGGGCCATGCTGTCCCTGCTGCACACCTCACTTTCATGGCACAGATGCAAGAAGCCCACATGCATCCCCTCTCCTCCCCCCAGGGAGCAGAGACAGACACATACATGGATCAGCATTTATTTCCAAATACCTCATTTATATCATTCTCACATGAAATATTTCTTTCAGAATATAGCCTACATTTAGAAGAGGTTTTTTTCATAAGGCACATCAGATTAGACTACATAGAAACATCTTCCCCCCCCCCCACACCCACTTGCGCTTGTAAAATACTGGTGATTTTAAAAGTAATAATCCTAAAACCTAGACCCTGTGCAGCCCCTTGTAGAGCAGTATTCATAAACTTATTAGACCTCAGTTTACGTACACCTAGTAAAAGGCTATAACAAGTTGTATATACATCACATTTTCAGAAACAGTCACAGCTGGCTACATTTAAAAGTAATGCTACTCCAGACTATGAAACAGGCTGCTTATAAAATATAACCTACAGCTTCCAGTATGGTGTGATACAAAGCAGTATGACCTTGTAGAAGAAACTACGTTATTTTTGCAAGTGAGAGTTGCTCAGACTCTAGCCTGTCTCCTTCCAAACTCTGCATTTCTGATCAGCTGAGACCATTATATAGCGAAGCAAAGCACCCAGGAGAAACCTGGCTTTAAAATTTGCTCCAAGATGACATTATGACTGCATATCTGAAATCCTGTCACTGCATTAGGATAAGAAATATAAAGGCTCAAATGTTAACTTCATGACCAGTAAACATAAAAGCATTATGAACCAGATGCATCCAAGGTCAGTGCATCCAGCTTCCGTGCTATGGAAACTGCTTTTCCAGGCTGTTCCAGTGCAGAAGCCAACACATTCTTCTTTACATAGGAACTGATTCAATATTTCCATTCCATTTTCAAGTTTTCAGCCATGGAACATTACCCACTTCATACTCATTTTGCTGTAGTGGAGGAAAAAATATTGCCTGTGGAGTTTGTGCCAATAAAACCATTTATGTAGTGTCATTTCTTTAGTGGGCTAGGAGGTAAACCGTGGTCAGCTTTATCAGTTCAAATGGCTTCCACAATTCTTCTCTATATCGGGCACCGATTCATTTATGATGAAAAAGGGTTCTGGCTTCCTGCAACTGCAGTTTAGTTTAAGACTATGAAAAAGTTCACTTTAAGGCTATGGCCAAAGGGAAAATGGAAAAAAAAAAAAAATATATATATATATATATATATATATATATATATATATATATATATATATAGAATCTGATCTTGAAATACCTAGGAAAAAAAAAAAAAAAAAAAGTAGTTGGGGGCCATAAAAAGACAGACAGACAAAAAGACAGACTAAATGCCCTCTGCAGAAAAAGTTAAAATACCATTCTTGCAGAGAGTCACGTTACTCTTCCAGTCTCTCAAACCCACAGGGATTGAAATTAGGGTTAGTCCAGTAGGAATTGGATTTAGTCAGAGGGTGAGTCACACACAGCTCTGCATTACCTTGATCATTCAGCTATATTTTAGGGACATTTAACCTGTTGGACTGATCTGGGAAAACACTGTCAGTTGCATTTTCAGAGTGGCCTCAGCCCATTTTCCCAGCATGAGTTTGGACAAGATTCAACCATAAGCAACTGTTGCTTTTAGGAAGAAAACATTAACTTGGTCAAAAACAGCATGATAAAGAGGACACAGCAGCCTCAGTTGCTGGAGTCCAGTCTGTTATCACCTTTATCTGCCTGCTTTGTTGTTTGTTCAGCAGCCTGAAAGGTAAGGAGGGGCATTCTGAAACTCTTGGCTGTAAAAACAGACGCAATTTGCATGGTGCTGCACAGATATTTGTTACATCTCTTTTAAAAAAAAAAAAAAAATTTAAAAAAAAAAAATTAAAAAAAAAACAACCAACCCAACAGCATTTACATTCCTTTCTGTTGAAATAGACCAACTGTCATCACGTCCACACAAAGAGAGAGAAACCCACTGCCACCCAAAGTGGTGAGCTAAGGCTCAGTAACACTCCTTGGGCTTCCTTGTGATGCCCTCAGCATGAAGGGAAAAGGACAAAAATGACCCTCAAGTCAGGAGGTGACAAATGAGATGTCAGCGCTGTAACATATCAGATTCCCTCACAGCATGCTGAAGTTATACACGTGACCTTTCCAACCGCAGCATTTGCGTATAGGTTACACCTCTTGCATACCCTTTTTAAAGCGATCCCTAAGACTGTTGGTTTGGGAAGACATGGAGAAAAGAGCAGGAGTGGGTTTTTTAAAGCTAGAAAGGTCCATTAGGAGGCACAGTGTTATTTTCCCTTGAACCGTCCGTGTACACAGCTCTACATTTCCACAGTCCTCCTGTGCAGCCCTTGCAGCAAAAGGCTCCCATCTGTTCCTCCCGATCCGGTACACATGGTAAGACAAGAAGTCAAATCCTTTGGACAAATCCTTATAACTTCACAGATACATGGTGCACTTCTTCCGCAATGAAAGATATTAGTCACGAAACTCAACGCCAAACTTGATTTATAGCCATGATTTTAACTACAAATCCTTCTGCCACCCTCTTGAGGGCAACGGAGATACCAAGTAGCAACATATACACATACATACAGACCTAAGCTATACACTCCAGACAACACAGAATGAGATTTCAGCTAATATAGCTTCTATTTGATTTCCTCAGAGCAGCACTCGGGTCCTCACAACTCCTATACAAAACAGCAGTATTTTTTCCACCAGGATTTAGAGAGGTTTTTCATCTTGTCTGGAGTCCTACACTTGGATTTCTTTGGCTGCTGCTGGGTATCTGAGTACTGAATTCCAGCCACGATGGCTGCATCAAAGACCTCCTTGAGGTTTTTCTGAGTCAAAGCTGAGCACTCGATGTAGGACGCGGCTTTAATTTCCTCGGCACAGAGCTTTGCGGCCTCCTCTGGGACCGGCTTCTCCTTGCACTTGTCCAGCTCGATGAGCACCTTGACATCCTCCCGGAGGTCCGACTGCGTCCCCACCAGGATGATGGGCGCCTTGGGGCAGTGGCATCGGATTTCAGGGACCCACTTCTCGCTGACGTTCTGGAAGGACGAGGGGCTGACAACACTGAAGCACAGCAGGAAGATGTCTGTGTTGGTGTAGCACAGAGGCCTCAGCTTGTCGAACTCATCCTGGACAGAACGACACTGTGTTAGCACATGACAAACAGCGCTGCGTAGGCCGCAAAACACCCCCAGCTTCAACCCCTGTCCTCCTGGGATACCACAGCACCAGAAACTGGGACGAGGTGGGGCAGCATGGGCCCATGTGCAGACCCAAGGCCTGACCATGCCCGGCCACGAGCCCCCACCCAGCTGAGCTTTTCTAACGCTGCAGCTTCAAATGCTTACGTATTTCCTTTGCTACTTGCACATCAGCCCTCTGCCCTATATCTGCCCAAAAAAGGACCAGCAAAGCCACAGAGAGCAATGAAGCTAAAAAGAAAGATATGGGAGGGAAAAGGTACGCGGGCCTCAAAGGTACCGTCCTGCCTGCAGACACAGGCGAGAGCACAGCAGACAAGTGGCAGCAAGCACACTCTGGCCGGAAACATTTTGAAATCAGTGCTACTTAACAACATCCTACAGGAGAGGCAATAATTTCCCTGCCTTTGTAACCGGGGATTTAAATCCAATGGCAGCAACAGCGAATCACAATGCACGGGCTTAACATGCCAATGGCATGGAATAAGAGCTTTACCTTTCCCTCCCACCCATGCCACATCAAACAAACTGCAGAGAGGCCTCCCTGGTGCTATCTTTTTTTTCTCCCTCCTCCTTTCCTCTTTTTGTTAAGAGGAAACTCCAACAAAGCAAAGCCCTTCTGCTGCTTCAGGAGGTAGCGGAAAGAAAGCCGAGCACCTGAAGGTAATAAAGGAGCAAAGAACGAAGCAAGAAGCAAGGGTTAACTAACTGCACACAGCCCTTTATGCTGACAGCAGGATGAAAGCAGGGTAACACCAGCAGCCTGAGCAGGTAGGATTTGCCTCTATGAAGTGACATTTTAATTAAAATGGACATGTTCTCAAAAGCTCTGAATTTAAAGTGCAGAGAATAAATGCGGCTGAAGACATCTCTCCAACACCAGCATTTTGCTGCTGAATTGCAAGTCGTGTGTTAATTTTCAAGATGGGAAATTTTGATTTAAAGCCTGTGAGGGCAAAGGATATGCAGCTTAAAGCCCACTGGAAGCCTCAGAAGTCTCGTTCCACTTGAATGAATTTCTTCCAGCAGCAACTCCAAGAGAGACAGCAATTTATAAAACACGAGTCAAGAAAGCAAGCTTCATTAGCTCTGCTGATTCCCAGATTAAGGCTCACAGGAGAGCAGGCTCTCACCATTTGACTGGAGGAGTCCCGTGCTCACTGAGCTGCAGCACTGAAGGACAGGGCCATTTGCAACAAGGAATCTCGCTGCCTAACTGCCTCTTCTTAAAACGTGAGAAACCTCAGCAGCACTTGATTCAATGGGCTTGAAAGTCAAACCTAGATCTTAAGGGTCTCTGCTCAGATGGGACGGCGCCCTTCATGTTCCAAGTGCACTCCTGTGGATTCAATGGCAGGTACACAAACTGCAGGGCTCTGCACCTCTTCAGGCTGCTGACACTGAAATAGCTGGAATTTCACCCTGACTGGAGTGCTCTTTCAGCTGCAGATTCCAGCAACAATCTCACCCAGCCAGGCGTATTTTATTCAGGATGACTAATGCTGTAGACAACCTCTCCATCTGTAATGAAGCAACTCCCCCTGTTCCAGGGCACTTGGACAGCCAAACACCTGAACCACTCACTCTGCAGCAGTGCAGGTGAGCAGACTGACTGGCACCACCTGGCCTGGGCACTACATCCACAGGCTGTCACCACACAGGTGGGGTCATCTGCATGCTCTGCCTATGAGCACACACAGAGTTCCACCCTGGCACAAGACCAGGGGACACCTGATGCTATTACCTGCAGAAGGCAGGTAATAACCTGCTTGCAGGCTTTCAGGTTGGGTTTGTAGGGCAGATGGAAGACCTATACTGCTGCCAAGGCTGAGTAGCCCTCCAAAGTCCTTTCTTAAGTGGGGCACCTGCTTGCAGAGCACCTAACTAGGTTTGTGTGCTAAGGCCGCTGAGATTTATCCGTGTGGCTATGGGGAAGCCACAGACCTGGATCCATAAAAGCAGTTAATGAATCCAGCTCCAATCCCTTTCAAAAACAAGTTAAGCAGCAAAAAACCTCAAGCGACCTGGGCTCAAACAGTACTGCATGTGTTTATGACACACACAAGCCAAGAACATGCAGAAAACACAAGAGATGGGTGCTCTGGTCAGGCAAACGAGGAGCTGGAAGTAGCAGGAGTTTGTCAGCTTGGCAGAGGCAGCACTTCTTAGTGGCTGGGAATTGAAAGTGTGAAGTCTCCACAGATGCCACCAAATGGTATTTTTTTCTCCCTCAAGTCCCTTTAATAGCACAGTTTCCACCTCTCTATACCTACAGCTACAAATGTTTTACATGCCTGTGTCTCAAACACAGTAATTCTCATTTCCGTGGTTATTTAACTAAAAATTGAAGCCAGTGACAACTGCTCTCAGCAGATACCAGGTGGCCCTCCAGATTCCGGGGTCACCACAGGGACTGCTTTGCGTGACCTCTCCTCCTGGGACCTCCTCCCCCCCTGCTTGTCACTCGGGTTGGCGGCTTCACTGACCTGCCCAGCCGTGTCACAGAGCTGCAGTCGCACCGGCTTGCCATCCACAGACACCACGGCTAGTGGGGAAAGGAGGGGAAAAAAAGCGTGGTGAGTTCAACTTTGCACATTTTCCATTAGGAAAAAATAAAAATTAAAAAAAAAAAAAAAAAAAAAAAAAGTTAAGAAGGAAAGAAGAGATACGGTCCCCTGTCCTTACAGCCCTTCTCTTTGCTTAGGCTGGATGCAGCTTAGCAGGGCTGGAGCTGGGTCTAGAACCAGCAATTCGGCACGCAGCCTGGAGACTCTCCGCTTCGTTTCCCCGCGAGCAGCACGGCACAGACCCCCGCGCTGTGCCCTCCCCTGCTGTAGGGGCGTCACTCGACCATCCTCTTACGCGTTCCCAAGCACAGAGAGCCCCCGCCGGGCCGAAGGCACGCGGAGCAGAGCCTCACCCTCCGCAGCCACCACTCGAGATGAAATTTTAGCCCTGCCAGCTCCCGGCGCAAGCCGCTCCGCTGGAGCGCGCCGGCCGCGGGCACACCGGGAGCGACCCCCTCCACCCCCCCGCCCCCTGCTCGCTGCCGACCCCCGGTCCCCGCTTACCGGAGAAGTTGTCGAAGGCAGTGGGGATGTACTCGGTGGGGTACCCGTTGGTGGTGTAGCTCACCACCAGACTGGTTTTCCCCACGGCGCCGTCCCCCACCAGCACACACTTGATGCTGCGCCGGGGCTCGGCTCCTGCACCCGCCCCGTTCCCCGCTGCGGCCCCGGCCCCGCTCCCCGCCGCCCGGCAGCGGCCGCCCAGCGCCGCCCCCAGTGCCGCCGCCGCCCGCCCGCTGCGCACTCTGCGCGGGGGCACCGGCGGCACCTCGCAGCCGCCCGGCACCGGCTTGCTGATGTAGCCCGCCTCGCCCTCCTGCTGCGGCGGCATCCGAGCGGCGCCGCGCGGCACCGCCGGCCGGGGGGCGGCGCGCGGCCCGGGGCCGCCGGCCGGGGAACGGCGGGGCGCGGAGACGGTGGCGACGGGCGAGCGATGCGGAGCAACCGCGGGCCGGCAGGCGCGGCGCGGCCGCCGCGAAGCCAGCACCGGCAGAGCGGGTGCTTCCCGGGGGCGGGAGGGCGAGCGGCTTCCGGAACGGTGCGGGCAACGAGAGCCCGGCTGGGTGTGCTGCGCTTTGCTGAGCTGCGCTGTGCTACGCTGCGCTCGCCTCGCCCCGCGCTACGGAGTCCTAAACGCCAGCCCCGCGCCGCCGCGTGACATAGCGCGGAGAGGGGAGGAGCCGCCCGGCGCGGCCAGACCCGGCCCGGCAGGCGGCGCCATAGCACCCGCTCCGCCCGCCCGACGGCTGCGGCCGCTGGGCAGGGGCGTGGCGCCGCCCGGCGACCGTGCTCCCGATTGGGCCGCCCTCCCCGTCGGGCGCCGCCATTGGCTGGAGCGGATGGGGCGCGCCGCCTGCACCGTCGGGGCCGCCCGCGCTCCGCTGGTGGCGCCGCCTCGAGGGCGCAGCCGGAGCCCGTGTGCTGCAATAGCAGGCATGGCTCAGTGCGTACCTTGCGTTATACTGCTGCTGCTAGTCCTCATGGGGGTGCCCGGGTTAGATCAAAAGCGTTCTGTTTTAATTTAGTTTAATTATAGCCTGAGTACCTCCCAGGGCTGTACTGCTTTAGCAGTATCTTCGCGGCACGGAGGCAGTCGTGTCGGATAGAGCCAGTGCGGCTCAGCCTTGCTGGAAAGGAAAGCACCCTGTATGCATGGTAAGGGATGGTATCTGCTGTTACTTCTCCCTCCATATCTGTATGCAGCAGAGGGCTGTCGTGTGCCTGGTGCACTTGCTGTGTGCTGCACTGTGCAGGGCAGAGCCACGACTGCAGCCTGGGCTCCCAACTCACTCACTTCCATTCAAAACAGTTTTGAGAAAAGGAGAACTCTAATTACGTCCTAGCTGTATTTTGTCTCAGCATCCCACAAACGATGCACGTTGTTGGTGCTGAGAAGTGGTACGTGATGCTGGAAGGCGTGGTAAGCTCCGCAGCTTGGGTCACTTCAGGTAGTGTGTCATCAAATGAACTGTAGCAGAATCTGGAAAAATCACTAAGACCACCTGGTCCAACTGCCCATCCCCACCACGGCCACTGACCATGTCGCTCAGTGCCCACATGTTTCTGTAACACTTCCAGGGACAGAGACTCCAGAACTTCCCTGGGCAGCCTGTGCCCATGTGTCAAGGCCATGCAGTGTCTGTGCCCATGTTGGATGATGCACAACCTGAGAGTGAGCAGCAAGCTGGCACAAGGATGCAATCTAACCTGGCTGTGGGCACAAGGATGTCTGAGCGATGCTATATCCTATCTGTGATGACAAATAGTAAATCCATGTCCTATATCAGTGCAGTGATGAGAACTCATTAAGAGCACAGTTGCACAAGCTCCTGTAGGTGGGAGGTGAGGGGTGAGTGCTCTGTACCAGCTAAACATCAGTTTGAACGGCGTTGAAAGATGATGCTGGAAAGCTCTTCATTGCGAACGCTGCAAGTGAAAAATGCCATGTGTGCATTTTTGAACACCTTCGGTGGCCAAATGCATTGAGCCGAGTGGGGTTTGGTGAGATAACTACAACTGCCCACATTGTTCTTGTACTGGGAGGGCAGGAGCAGCCTGGGAGCTGCATGGCTGTGCTGTACTGTAATGTACAGTAGCCCTTTGTATGAGAGGATGATCTAAGCCATTGTTGTGCCCACCCGCACCATAGCAGCAAGCCGGGGCAGCACCAACAGCGGTGCCACCCTGCGTGAAAGATGCTCTAAGCAACATCTGCTGTCCCCAAGCTGTCAGCCCAGCCCTACTGCATGCACCCATCTTGCAGGTTGGAATGCAGCTGTTTTCAGAGCTGAGCTGTGGGATGACAAATCTTAGTTCCATGCAGGTCACTAGGGTGCTGCTGTTTGTCCATTATCAGCTCTCTCTCTATCTTACATGCTTGTGTTAGTCAAATATCATTCTTTGAGGAAAATGACAGAATGAGGAAATTATTTTATCAAAATGTGAAGTAGGTCATTGTTATATCCTGGCTTATCATTTTCCCTGTGATACAAAGAATCTGAATGGGGTGCTGGCCTTGTAGAATGAATGCTCTCTCTTTTTTTTTCCTGCAGAAACTTGACAAGCCTGACACGGAGCAAGGCACTGGGCATGACGTGATGCAGTGCTGCTGGTGCAGGGCAGGGTACAGACTGCCCCAGGGGGCTGTCACCGGGGTCCCACTTGTCGTGAAAGCAGCAAACCCACAACTGCAAAGTGGCCATCTCTGATACTCCCTGTTTTCTTCCAAACAGTGAGATCATGGTAATGCTGCTGAGCTGGTCACTGGCTGGAGAGGTGAAAAGGAGGGAAAGGGGAAGTGTGAGGGAGCAAAAGAGGGCAATAAGCCAGGGAAGCAAAGGGAGATTGTGTGAAGGACAGCTCTGACCTACCCTGACTCCAGAAGAGTGCTTTTGAGGCTGCTTCTTGACTGCCAGGAGAGAAAAGGGCTGGGGAAGCACAAGATTCTGTTCTTTTTATTATAAACTTCATTTGATGTGTATATATATATATATACCATATATGTGCCAGGGATTTTTTAGAGAACATGGTCGTCACTCAAAATATCAACCTCAGGCAAGTTTTCACTACGTGGGGAAAAGGAACCAGCACACATTATTAACACAGTAATATCCCCCCACCCCTCCAGCTAAGTTCTGATTGTGAAGGCACTAACATGAGCTCAAAATCAAAATGGATTGCTGAAATCAACCTGAAAGCAAAATAAAACAAAACTAAACAAAGCAGAATTGCTTCAAGCCACTCAAATTCCTAATTAATTCAGAAAACAAATTAACCCTAGCCTCCTATCTGCAGTGCCTCTGCAGGGGAGTTGCTGTGGGAGGTGATCCCTTTATCTCTCTTTTAACATCCTTTTCACCCCCCTCAGACCACAGCCACTGGCAGACACTGAGTGTCCTGAGTGCTGTGTGACAGTCTCCAATTTGCCCATCCTAGAGCTTCTCATGGCCCAGGGCTGTCCCACAGCCTGGGGCACAGGGATGGAGCTGTGCTGCAAGGATGGAGCAGTGTCACTGTGCTTCTGCTTACACGGGCTTTTAACATGCTGTTTCAGCCTCAGAGTTGCAGAGGCAATCTTGAATGAGGCAGTTAACTCCAAGCCCTAGACTGAACATCTGAGGGGAGAGAAAGGTATAAGAGAGGAAGCTTTGGCAGTGTGCTGCACGCTGGGGCATCCCAAGATGGGCCATGCACATCCTATGTGGACCAACATCTCGGAAGAGGGACAGCACCTTCCTCCTGGGAGGCCTCTGCCAGCAGGGCTGGGAGGTAAGGGGCATAGAGACCCTCCTGCCCTAACTGGTTCCTTCTGCACTCACAAGCTGGTTGCTTGCAAAGTCTAAGAAGCGATGGTTGCTCCATGTGTTATCTCTTCTGGAGCCAGCCACTTTCTCTTGGTGTCAAACTTGGACAATTCCCATGGGCAGTGCTGAAAAGACTTTTTCCAGTTTTAAAGATCTTCTCTGAAAGCAGTTGCTAGGATCTTGTTAGTGAGGATTAAATACTTGGAACAATACAGCACAAGCGTCAGTTTTACTGGAAGTGAATAGGGCAAACTTTCCTATAAGCTGCCCTACTTACAACCCAGAGGTGCACCACGGGATGGCTTCCACAGCCTCACAATGGAAAGAGCCACAGTTCTCCATGCTGCATGGCAAAGCAAAGGCAGGAAAGTAAACACCAGGATTCACCAGGTGCAAAGCAAACAGCTCAATAACCCCCACAGACAAAGCCTGCCCTGCTCCGGTGCTCATAGGTGGAGCTCAGAGGTGAGTTCCCAGGTGCCTCCCAGTGCCCAGCCCAAACCCAGCTGCCTTCAGCCTCTCAGCTGCCACAGGTATGTGCAATCAGATATGGAAGCCAGCTGCAACGTGAGCTATGTTTTCTTTTCAAGCTTCCTCTCTTTACCTTAAATGCTACATCTTCCACAGCTTTAAGGTTCTCCATGCCTTTGAAAAAGAATGCCAGAGCAAGAAGAGCAAACAAAAGGCTGCAGCTCCCCAGCTCCAAGAGCAGAGAAGAGGAGTCCTCACCCAGAAGTGACCTAGGGGCTTTGAACACCAGGCACTGTTAGCTGTAAATGCAGACCACTACAACGTACTCAAGATTTCCAATTGCAGTAAAGGCACTGGAAGCAAGAGATGGATAGGTTGCCAGCTGTGTCAGTATGATAAGACAAGCAAGGACACCAAAGCTTTCATTTGAAAGCAAATTGAAACCTCAGCAGTGACACAGGGCAAATCAGCACATAAGCTGCACATGGAACTCTGAGCAAGGCACTGTGGACAAACGTTTCTTATCTTCAGCTGACGTCAATAGGAATAGCAGCAAAGTGTTTCCTAGAGAGGAGGAGGAGAAAGTCCAAAAGATTTTTCAGCAGTAAAAAAGTGCTTTTCATAAAGCAGTGCTTTATAAAATGTTACTGTTTTTCACTGACAGTGAGCAGACAGAATCACCCACAAGTTCTCCCTGAAGTCTGCTTGTATGGATTTAACAGTGCCATTCCTGCAGGAACGCTGCCTGCTATCTCCACTGCATCCCAAAGACAACCTGGGAAGCAAAGTCTCTCAAACAGCACAAGGTACAGCTGTGGTAATTACCCACTTGCTCTGATGGTGTGTGAAACAGGACTCTGGGAGAGGCAGGATGTGGTGATTGAGGCTTTCTGCAAGATGATGCTCCCCACAGTCACCTCCTCATTTCTCAGAGTTCCTGCTCCTCCAGCAGCCCATCTTACTGACTTCTGCTTTGCTTTCTAGTTTTATTATTTTCATTAAATCTAATTATCAGAAGAGTGGATGAGGCCCATCTTGGATGGATTTTTTTCTTTGTCAGTAGTTTTCATTTTGCCAAGTTTGTTTTTTGTTTGTTTTTTTTTTGCTTTTAAACTCTTTTGATAATAAGAGGCAGGTGACCCAGCGGCAAAAACACTGCTCATCAGCCTGGACAGCTCAGGGGAGGCTTTCTCCCCCCCGAAAGCCCAGAGGAACGAGCCTATACTGCTGCAGAGCTGGAATTGCACCCAGACCACAGGGAACTGTCCTGAGCGTCCCAGAATATTGCCCAGTCTACCTTTAGTATCTGTCTGCTGTTTTTGGGTTGCATTTGCAGAGCGGGGCTTGGGCTGCATGCAGACCCAATGGGTCTTGTTGTTGTGAGTAATGGTGTAAGAGCAGCAGATCCCAGAGGCTAGTCTGCCAGGGGGAACAAAGAGATGGTTATAGGTTTGGGGAGAAAAAATAAGGAAACGAAAAAGAAAAGAGAACAAAGAGCCATTGACAAGAGGCACAAATAAGCTAGGTCTTAAGTGTCATTCCCCATCTGATAAAACAAAAATGTCCAGAGCAACCATTAAGAAAAAAAAATACCATGCAGGATTAAATATCTGTTTGGCTCTATGCACTGACTGTACACAGAGCTCTTTTTCCTTTTGTGCTCTCAGTTATCTTTCTTCTTGATTAATGTGGAGCTGGCCACATACTCATATGCGGATGATGCAGACCCATATTTTGGGAGCTGCCTTTGTGTAGTCTGTACTTTCAGGAGCCTGGAGCAAAGCAAAACAGCAACATGTGTGTGAAGGAAAGGGGAAGGTGCTTGGGCTGATCCTATGAGATGCATCAAAGGGGTAAGGATGAGAGTTTGAGAAGGATTCAAAGCCAGAGACAACTCCAGCAATGGGTTAAAGATGGCAAGACAGTACTGAATAAAAAATACACAGCAGAAAAGGACAAGTGTGGGGAGTGCCGCTGTGGGCTGCTTTGGGGCAAACAGGACATTGGTGACCATCAGGCAGCAAGGAGATGGACGGTGGCTGCCCCTCACTGGGCTGTGAGCAGTGAGGGGGCTGCACGCAATTTGGCTTTGCCATGCCAAAGAGAAGGGGGATAATCCATTCTCCACAGCACGTGGAGGTAAATAAGGCAAGAAATAATGAGATTAAAGTGCAGCAAGGGAAGCTCAATACAGCTGTCAGAAAAAACTTCCTAATGGTAAGGACAGCTGCATATTGCAATTGCCTCTTGGGGCCATGGCATCTCCACTGGAGTGAGACGCATGGGGCTGTCAGGAACGGCTGGGTAAAGCTGCATGCATTTCTAGGCAGCAGAGATGTGCTGGTGCTTCTTGTTAGTTTCTCTTCCAGCCACACTTTTGGAAAACAATTGAAGGACTGCCAAGGTCAATGGCACTGCGGTGATTTCCACTGGTGACAGACAGAAAGCTAGGTAAGCCCAGTACTCCTCTCCAACCATAGTATTTGTTTGCATGGAAGTAGGTGTACTGCTCAACATTCCTTTCTCTGTGCACTTCCCTGGCTTCCTCTTCTCATCATGCAGATCACCAGTGTGTCTCTGAAGCACAGGATGTGATGTCCTCTTGGGAACCCAGCTGGGGAAACTGGAATTCAAAGGTGAATAAGTAAAAATGTGGGGTGTTTTATTTTCTTCTTCTTCTTTTTTAATATATATAAAATAGAGACTGAATTCTGCAAACCTATGTGTGGTTACTTCACTGTTAACCCAAGGGTAAATATCCTCACACTCAAGGCCCATCTCCGCTGACTGGAGCTCCCCATTAAAAGGTCTGTGCTTCCCTATAGCGTGTTCTTCAAAAACCAGATGACAATAAGAAGTTGTCTTACTTCAGCAAGGCACCTCTTTCACTTCTCTCACCACATCCATAGGAAAATAGCTGTGCTAAATACACTTTGGGATCAAAGCCCCGTTAAGCAGAATAGATTCCATGCACCAAACCGACAGGCTTCTTGCAGATTTGTTGCTATGGTGCTATTGCCTTGAGAAATTAAAATATCACTCATCAGCCTCCATGGGAGCCTACCCAGAAAAGTAACCACCACAAATTAATAGAACATTGTTTTGGCCGCAGTCACCGAGCAGTTAATTTGCTTTAAGCTTTAATCATCCTTAACTTCACATTTGGCTGTTAACCCACAAACTGATCATTAACTGCATGTAATGAATGACTGATTTCTAAAGGATTGTTCCAAAGCAAGTTGCTTTTTCATTTGTTGCCAAATGACTTTAATATCTCCCACCAGCACATGGGTGACCTATTGATTCCCCCTAGGAATCTGAGGTGAAACAGGGAGGTACTTGCAGGTTATCTGCCTATAAACAGGCTGCTCAGAGCTGATAAACTTGATGGGGCTGCATCCCACTTTCCAATTTCACTCAAGCTTCCCAAAGAGGCAGGAGTAACCTGGCTGGGTTGTTGTGGGTCACAGCTGGAGGTCTTTAATCAACATTCCCAGTGAAACAGCAGGAGTTTGGTTGGCCTGAAACCCAAATCAAGATTTCGCTGGTATTTACTTTGGTGCTTGTCCCTTTCATAGCAGCTGGTCATGGATGAATGTGATGTTGCTGCAGAAATGATCAAATGCCAATTGGACTTCTTGTTTTTTCTTCTCCCTTCAGTTTTAAAATGCCTACAACTGAAATGTTCTAGTGGCAACTCGTTTAGGCTGTTTAGATGTATCTGCTAGTAAATGAAAGGAGCAATTTTTTTGTTTTAGGTAAACAAAATCTTCTGACTCACAGTCCCTATGATCAGCCACGAGACAATCCTCCTCTCCCATCTTAAGGTCTGTAAGGCCCAAGAAGCTGACTCTGACTCACTGAGGAGGCATGAGGACTGGGCCATTTCCACAGTGTGCACCTTTCTTCCTGACAGCGCAGACAGAAGTAAGACGGGAGAAAGCCTGCACCGCACTGGCTCCAGTTTCTCTTCGGGTATCACTGGGCTTTGATTGTTCTCTTTGGTACAAGAATAAGTTAAACTGATATTTGCAAGTATCTATTTGAACTCCCCTGCACTGATAGGCACAGGCATTGGGAAATTTGTATTTAGTACCACCACTGCTGCATCTTTGAACTTAATTTTGGAAGCACCCCTGTCACTCCAGTGAAAGTAAAACACGATATGGAACTAAAAGCTTCCTGCCAGACTTACAATGCTAAGTGCTGCCAGCTTTTTCTGGAGAAGAGTCTTCAGTAAAATATTTTCTAATTGAGGAATGCTGATTCCTTCAAACTGTTGACTTTCTGTTGAGAACCACAAAGAAAAACATGCCCAATATATTTCTCAAATAAAAGTAATGAAGAAAAAATTAGGAATGTCTAATGTGTTTTCATGTTACTGGCATTTATAATGGTGTTTTCTTTATTCAAATGATGCCTGCTATTTAAATAATTTTACTTTCAAGTGAACAAAAAAAAACAGCGTGAAAGTATTGAAATGCAATGTTTCAGTTAACTCCCACTGCTTTTTTTGTTGTTTGCCTGCAAACATTTTCCACAGTTTGAGTTTTCAGTTCCTTTTTGTGACCTTAGAGGTATTTCTTCCATTTCAAGTACCTTCTATTTGCAGAAAACAGCAAGCAGATAATTGTGCCCAAGCAAAAAACAGGGTGAAGCTCCAGCTAAGGCAGGCCATGGAAACACCAGGAAAACATTCCCAGTGCCTCAGCACCTGGTGCCATGGCTTCAGTGCACAGCAGGGCTCTTCTGTGGATTGTTCAGACCAAGCATGCCATGGGCCTCCTGTGAGGAGCTGCCAGCGTGGGGCCCAGCAGGACAAGGAAATGGATAGGAGCAGGCTGAGAACTGGAGGGACAGTCATTTTTTATTTTTTTTTTCTATGTACATTTATTGAATTTTCCAGTTGCAGAAATGCAATCAAGTCAATTCATAGTCCGCAGGAAGAATGTCCTGGTGTAACAAAAACACAAGGTTTCCAGTATTCATTTCTACTGCTAAAATCTTGCAGAAAAGTATCTATTACCACGCGCAAGGAGGGAATGTTCTTAACGGGAACAAAGCTCCCAGTGAAATCCTGGATTGTAGCACTGGGACCAAGGCGATGCAGAGGCTGCCACTGCTGCTATTACTGTTTTTAACCCTGCTATGTCCTGCATCACGGTGGGACCAGCAATACACCAGTAACTTCTGCTGCATTGTGCACTTTTGTAAAGCTGTCTCCTCAGACCACACCAAACTCAAATTGGAAAGAGTTTTCCAGATCTCAGTGAGCTCCCAGTTCTGCCAGCAGAGCTGATAAGAGGGCCTGAGGCAACAAGCCTGACTATAGGGACAGCCACCTCTGTGATTGCAGTCATCATTGCTCCTGAGGGCAATAACCACAATAAAGTGGTTAATAATAATAAACCCAGATCTCCAAGCAGCAGCACTGCTAGCAGCACTCCATGCCTTGGGCCAAGATGTGGAGAAGCTTGGACTGCGAGGTGCTGAGTGCTGGCCTGCAGGGCTGCTGAGCAGCGTGGGGCTGGACACAGGATGCCGGAGTGAGAGTTATCTCAGGGCGCCAGGATGCAGGATGCGGGGTGCAAAGCAGAGATGGGAGATGCGTGCTGCAGGATAAGGGGGTGTGCGGATTTCGGGATGTGAGGATGAAGGATGCGGGGAAGCTGGGACGCGAGGCTGGAGAGATGCCGAGGCTGCTGAAGGGTTACGGTGGCGGCGGCCGCCCCCTGCTGTCGGTACGGCCGCGGTGCCGGTGGCTGTGGGGCCGGGGCTCCTCTGGGAGCTGCCCCGATGCCTCCCGCTGCGCCCCGGATCGGCACCCGCTGCCTGCAGAGCCGCCCCCCTTCTGCCCCTCGATAGCCGCTTCCCGCCAGCCGGCCCCCTGCTTTGGCCCGATTTTGCAAGATGCTGACTGATCCTTGTGTTTTTTGGTTTTTTTTCCCCACCTTTGTGCCAACACTTGGAGACAAAGGAGCGCGCATTTTCCGTGCAAGCTGTCCCGCGGTGCCGTCGGGTTACTGATTTATCCCATTAGCTTAGAGGTCAGAGTAGCACAATCAGAGGCTATTTGTCCACTAGCTGGAGTCACTCACGGCTGACAAAACCGTCCTCATTTCCAGCTCCCTGCAGCTGTGTGAGAATCAGTGCTGCGAGTAGGAATGGCGCCTGAGCCCTCTGCACCCCTTTTCCCAACTGCAGATCATCCTGAATAAGGCAGCACAGCGAACCTGTGCCTACAGGCAGCTCGGTGGCTCCAGCTCTCCTTTCCCAGGGACCGCTGGGACACCTGCACAGCTCTGCACTGTCACCAGCCACCTGTGGTGGGGCTACTTTCTTATTCCTTTATTGCCTATTTTTGTTTTCTATTAAGAAAAAAAAAAGGAAAAATGAAAAAAGAAAAAAGAAAAAAAAAGAAATAGTACAATTTCACTATTATCAGAAATGTCCCAATAAAGTTACAAACAGGCTGTGCTGTACTAATTTCTTAATCTCCTCTAGGATGAACTAAAAACTTACTCATGTGATTACCCAGTTCTCATCAAATATACACAGGACCAACCCTTAGGACTGGTACATGCAGTACAGCATGTTTTCCATGGCTGTTCTGTGCCACTTGTGCAGTGGTAGCAGCACAGCTGGTGAGAACCAGGCCAGGACGTCTCTCAAGCTTCACATCTCTGTCAACCACTTCAGGGGGCTTTTTAGGCAGCTGAAAACTGGTGCTTGGAAAAAAAAAAAAAAAACAAACAAAAAAAAACCAACAAACCTGCTCACAAAGAGCAGGAGGAAATTATGCCAAGGCAGAGGTGAAATCATCCCAGGGCAGAGGTGCGGAAGTCGCCCCTGCACTCTACAGGCAGATTGTTCAGGCACCACACTGCAGAAAAAGAAATGTGTTATTCCATGATCTTTAATTTTTATCCATTTTTTTATTGGTAGAGCCTGATATTTTCCAGCAGAGTTGTAAACCATCTGTCATGAATTCAAGGCAACTGACAACAGGGTTGATTTTCTTAACTGCCTTTCCCCTACAGATAACCCAGAGGTCCCCCCAGGGCCTGAAGACAATAGGTTGCAAACTGTTGGCATTGATAGATAGGCTTCCTCCCCCTCCGTTCAGCCTGGAAAAGTGTTTGCCTGTCTTGTTGCTTAAACAAATCAAATGTTCCAACCCCAAACAATGCTAGAGCTAATAATGGAAACAGGGACTGCTTTAGGGTTTGAGTCTCCTGCTTCCTGGTCCTTTCCATTCCCACCCCTCTGCTCCATCCAGCACTGAGATTGCATTTCATTTAATTATGAAGTGTGTGCACATGTGTGGCAAGGAATTACAGAAATCATTCCAAAGATACTAGTGTCTTGAGCTGTGGCATTGGTGCAGGATTTAAACTGGCAAGGTGGAGAATTAGTCTTCTAAAGAAGCAAAACCAACAAATCACCGTATGCCTTTTCCTCACCTGGCTGACTCCATCTGATCAATGATCTCTGTATTTGCTCCCAGAGATGGGACCCAGTCATAGGAAAAACCATGGCTGCAGCACCAGTGTGAATACAGAAATACAGAAGCAGGGACATGTTTACTGCGTGCTCCTGGTGGCAAGCTTGGCTTACAGCTCCCGCACCCGTGTGCCAAAGTACCTGTGGTACAGACGTGTTAAAACCCTTGCACCACAAAATACTGGATCTATTTTGAGGGTGAGAAAGCATCTGACTAGCAAACTAGCTATGTATATTTTGTCCTGGCTCTGTTAAAAACCTCCTTTCTAACAGAATATGGGAAGTAATGAAACTGCCTGCAGTAAAATACCTGATAAGCCTTTCCTCTTCTACAGAGTGGGTAAATACATGTAATTTTCCAATTAGCTCTTGCTCTGAGCAATTATGTTGATCAAATAATTGAATAAGTGACAGGAATGTGAATTCTGGAGACAGTTAATTTCCTTCATCTGCCAGTTTATAGCTTGACTTGCATGAACACATAAACCAGGCCAACGTGTTATTTATAACTTTGGAAGAACAACTAACAGACATGAAGAGCTATGTTTTTGGTGTACAGAGATGAAGGTTTCTGCTAGTAAATTACAATAATAGCATAAAAAGTGAGTTTGGTGTTTATAGCCAGCATGTGGGACAGGAAGGATGTGGGGCTTGCAGATGAAACAGTGAGTAAGGTCAGAGGCAGTGTTAGCAGGGCTGGAAGTGGTGCTGATAACTGTAGGGGGCAGAGGGGCAGCTAAAGCCTTACTGTCATGTTTGGTGACGCATGGCATTTGTGCTGCCCTAGGGACTGTCAGCACAGCTCCAACTCTCCTAAGCATCCCTGCCCTTCCGCACACCTACCCACCCCTCCTCATATTGAAGCTGAGCATCATTTTTGAGGAAGAGCAAGGACCAAAATCACTTTGCATGGATGATCCTTTGCAAAAGAAACAAACAAGCTGTTTGGTCCTGGACAAGAACCAAGATGCTCTGAAAAAGAAGAAAAAAAAAAACAAAACAGTCCAGCATGCTCAACACTGATGCACAGGAACAACCTTCACAGACCTGGTCCTGATTTCTAGCAAAAGCACAAGACGCAATGGGAGCTTTCTTCAGAATTAACTTGTTAAAAAGAGCTAGGAAAATGCATTTGTTTTTCTTCTTCAAGCTATCTTTAGATTGTCTTAACCAGTTGTACCTTTTATCTGAAGCCCCTGTAGCAATCCAGCCTCCCATCCAACAGGAACTAATTAGCAGAGACATACAGTAATAAAAGTAGCACACAGGCATGAGCCACTGCCTCCCAGGGAGCGTTACCTGGATGAGACCTACGCTGGCTGCAAAGAGGAAAATTGTGCAATTAATTGCTTCCTGATTAAAGATGTTTGCAGTCTGGACCTTACATCTTCAAGGCCTAAGAATAGACACCAAGGTAAATCTGGAGCTTGCCCACAGTTGTTAGAAGACCTCACCACAGACTGCAGCTATTGGTGCTGTAATTTTGGTTTATGAATAAATGCTTTCCTGTCTGGGCATATTATGCCCTAAGCCGAGTCTTCAGAAAGTCAAAACGTAGGGGCAACAGAAGGTCTTGTGTGGGTTTAACTAAATTTCTAAGCCAGTTTGGTTAAAGCAGCACCCTTCTTCTTTGGGACAAGATCCGAGGGGAATTAATTTCCCAGGCTGTGAACCAGAAGACACAAAACTCCCCTGGACGATGCTTCAGGCTAGGAGGCTATTTAAATGATGATAAACATCAGGGCAAATCAAGAAATGACCAGTGATTACAGATGCAGCAGGAGAGGGGCTGTCCTAGGTGAAGGGGC